TTTTCATAGGCTTTTGTGAGTTTGGGCAAGGACACAGGGGCCCCATGATCCCCTATTGCCCGGGGGCCCCATGAGTTGTCAGTCCACCCCTGATATGATGGCTCAATTTAATCATCGTTCTAAAGAAAGAGAGTAATTTTCATCAGAGATCAGTTTGCTTTAAAGGAGTGTCTTCCTTGAAACTGGCAGAATAGTACAATCAGGCTTGACCAAATCAATCTTATCTTTGTTGGGTTTTCAAGCAAAATATCATTTGAAATCTACTGTATATACAGTATATAGTGTACACAGATATATATATATATATATACATACACACATATCAGCCACTGACAGGTAAAGTGGATACAATTGATTATCTTGTTACAATGGCATCTGAAAGTGGTTGGGATATATTAGGCAGCAAGTGAACATGGTGTCCCTGAAGTTGATGTATTGAAAGCAGAAAAAATAGACAATCGCAAGAATTTGAGTGGCGTTGACAATGACAAAATTGTAATGGCTTCATGACTGGGTCAGAGTGACTCTAGAACCGTAGCTCTTGTGGACCTATGTCCACAGCCACAAAGGCCTACAATGGGCATGTGAGCATCAGAACTGGACCACAGAGCAATGGAAGAAGGTGGCCTGGTCCAATGGATTAAAAAATGGTTTGAGGAACACAAGAAGAGGATTAAGATATTCAGATCTCAGTCCAATCAAGAATCTGTGGGATGTGCTGGAAAAGTCTAATCCATGGAGGCCCTACCTCGCAACTTACTCTACGTAAAGGATCTGCTACTGACGGCTTGGTGCCAGACACCACAGCATACCTTCAAAGGTCTAGTGGAGTTCATGCCTCAATGGGTTATAGTGGGTGGTCATATTATTATATCTGATCGGTATTCTCTTTTTCTTTTTTTTTATTATGCATTTGAAGAGTACTGAATTTCAACTTTTCATCAATGTTGACTCCCCCAGTTCTGATCACTGTTCACTTAGAAATATCGTGTGACAACATTGATGTTATTTGGTATTTACGGTTTCATTTATGTCCAGATGAAAGAGGTGATTTTAGATCTCCATATGATATAATTTAAAGCAAAAAAGTAAATAAAAAAAGAAAAATTGTTCCTATATACAACACCTCATTAACCCGTAATTAACTCTAATCAGCCCTAATTCAAGATGAATTTCAGATGAGGCTTTTTTGCGTAGTTAATTGGTCCAGCTTGGACCAATGTCAGTATGATTGTGCCATACCTGTGGGATTCCTCTGAAGCCAAAGATTACTGTAGGAAAGGCTATTACATCCATTGGTGTTAGCCTCCGTGCCAAGTGGCTGCCCTTCTATTTAATGAACACAGGAGGTCACCCATTAGGCAAGTGGCTATCAGAAAACTCTTTGTATTTTCTTAATAAATCCAAAGCTTTCTCTGATTGAACAAGGGAGAGAGACTGGGCAGTGCCATCACAATCTCCAACTCAGCCATTCAGAGAGTGCATTGCATCAATGAGAAGAAAAAAAAAAAAGAAATCAAGGTGTTCTGTGAATGTCTCCTGGAGAACTGAAAGCTAGCAGCAATCACTATAGTGGTGGTTCCTACTACAATGATTTCCAGCTTCCACGGGCATCCCACAATTATGACATACGCACGCACGCACGCACACACTAATATCGCTTTAAGGGCTTGGTAGCCCACTTTTATTAAAAAAGGAAAATCAGAGTCCATTAACTTGCCCATGCACGGGTTTTGGTTTCACACAGCAAAAGAGGTAGCAGGAAAAGTACCAAGCCACCTGGCTCTTTCAGCCTTGGCTACAGCACTTTGCTGCTAGGGTTTCCACCTTATCCCTTTTCACGGGTAGGGTTTGGCACCCTAATTTCAGTGAAGGCAACTCTTAAGGCATCATTTTGGACAATTTCATGCTCCAAACTTTGTGGGATGGCCCCTTCCTGTTCCAACCTGACTTGCACCAGTGCACAAAGCAAAGTCCATAAAGACATGCATGAGCAAGTTTTGGGTGGAGGAACTTGACTGACCTGCACAGAGTCCTGACCTCAACCCCATAAAACACCTTTGGGATGAATTAGAGCACAGACTGGGAGCCAGGCCTCCTCCCACAACATCAGTGCCTGACCTCAGAAATGTGCTTCTGGAAGAATGGTCCAACCTTCCCATAGACACCCTCCTAAACCTTGTGGACGGCCTTCCCAGAAGAGTTGAAGCTGTTATAGCTGCAAAGGGCGGGGCCAACTCAATATTGAACCTTACAGACTTATGCAGGCCATAGACGGGTTGAACATCGGCCGATTTTTTGAATGATAAACAAAAAATCGGTTGTTCGTTAAGCCGACGTTACCACCGACGATTAAAAAAAATCGACCGACTAAATCATAAAGTTCACCCCATATAACAGCCAAACTTCTGTCCCTTGCAGGTCATGGCTCATGTGCAGAAATCTTTATTGTTAAAACAATCGGCCGATTTGGACATCATTGCCGGGAAAATCAGTCGTTTTTCCAAATCGGCTGCAAATGTTCCAACATGACCGATAATCTCAAAGTGCAAAAAACCCGAAAACCGGCTGACCAATTAACCCACTAACAGTGCGAAAATCGGCCGATTTTCGAACCGTCTATGGCCGGCATAAGACTGGGATGCCATTAAAGTTCATGTGTGTGTAAAGGCAGGCGTCCCAATACTTTTGGCAATATAGTGTATATACTGTGTGTATATATATATATATATATATATATATATATTAAACTTCCACTGAAAACTAGATTTCATTAAGAGCCTTTATACCTTCCCTTGAACAATCCCATGGAACACAGTTTAGTGGATGTGGCCCCTGTGTGGGTTTGCACACAGACACAAATGATCTGCTGAATAGTTGGCAGTAGCCAGTGACAAACCCAATGACATCATCTGTCTGACCCATCATAGAAACCAAGAGAAAGAGTCATGTGTTTGTCTATTATACAGCCGGGACAATACAGCTTACACTTCAGATGAAGCTAAACGTTTATACAGTGAGGAACAGAAGTATTTGAACACCCTGCGATTTTGCAAGTTCTCCCACTTAGAAATCATGGAGGGGGTCTGAAATTCACATTGTAGGTGCATTCCCACTCTAGGAGACAGAATTAAAAAACAAATTCAGGAAATCACATTGTATGATTTTTAAAGAATTTATTTGTCTTGCACTGCTGAACATAAGTATTTGAACACCTAAGAAACAGCAAGAATTCTGGCTCTCAAAGACCTGTTACTGTGCCTTTAAAAAGTTTACCCCTCTACTCCACTCATTAATCTAACTTAGTAGCACCTGCCTGAGCTCTTTAAAGACACCTGTCCACCCCACAGTCAGTCAGACGCCAACTACTGCCATGGGCAAGACCAAAGAGCTGTCAAAAGACACAAGAGGCAAAATTGTGGACCTCCACAAGGCTGGAAAGGGCTACGGGGCAATTGCCAAGCAGCTTGATGAAAATAGAACAACTGTTGGAGCAATTGTTAGAAAATGGAAGAGGCTAAAGACGACTGTCAGTCTCCCTCGGACTAGGGCTCCATGCAAGATCTCACCTAATGGGGTATCACTGATGATAAGAAAGGTGAGGAATCAGCCCAGAACTACAAGGGAGGAGCTGGTTAATGACATGAAGAGAGCTGGGACCACAGTTTCAAAGGTCACTGTCGGTAGAACACTACGTCATCATGGTTTCAAGTCATGCATTGCACGGAAGGTTCCCCTGCTCAAGTCATCACATGTCCAGGCCCGTCTAAAGTTTGCCAATGACCATCTGGATGATCCAGAGGAGGCATGGGAGAAAGTCATGTGGTCAGATGAGACCAAAGTAGAACTTTTTGGTCTAAACTTCACTCGTCGTGTTTGGAGGAAAAAGAAGGATGAGTTGCATCCCAAGAACACCATCCCTACTGTGAAGCATGGGGGTGGTAATATCATGCTTTGGGGGTGCTTTTCTGCAAAGGGGACAGGACGACTACACTGTATTAAGAAGAGGATGAATGGGGCCATTTATTGTGAGATTTTGAGCAACAACCTCCTTCCCTCAGTCAGAGCATTGAAGATGGGTCGTGGCTGGTTCTTCCAACATGACAACGACCCGAAGCACACAGCCAGGAGAACCAAGGAGTGGTTCCGTAAGAAGCATATCAAGGTTCTGGAGTGGCCTAGCCAGTCTCCAGACCTAAATCCAATAGAACATCTTTGGAGGGAGCTGAAACTCCGTGTTGCTCAGCGACAGCCTTGAAACCAGACAGATCTAGAGGAGATCTGTGTGGAGGAGTGGGCCAAAATCCCTGTTGCAATGTGTGCAAACCTGGTCAAGAACTACAGGAAACATCTGACTTCTGTAATTGCAAACAAAGGCTTCTGTACCAAATATTAACACTGATTTTCTCAGGTGTTCAAATACTTCTGTTCAGCAGTGCAAGACAAATAAATTCTTTACAAATCATACAATGGGATTTCCTGAATTTCTTTTTTAAATTCTGTCTCTCAGAGTGGGAATGCACCTACAATGTGAATTTCAGACCCCTCCATGATTTCTAAGTGGGAGAACTTGCAAAATCGCAGGGTGTTCAAATACTTCTGTTTCTCACTGTAACTGTGTTTAAAGGCTTTAAGGGAAACCAGTAGAAAAGCAATATATGAGACCAGCCATGTCCCAGTGTTACACAGCTATATAATGATAAGTCACTGTTTTGTGATCCTGTAAGTAGTTCTTTGAATCTCAATTCTGCATCCTAAAGGCCCATACACCTGTAAGAAAATAGCATGAAAATTTGTGTACGGGGAACGTTTGGTCGATTATCTGATCATTAGTATAGTGCTGTCGACAGTCCAACTGTTCAGATGAAAAAAAAGGTAGGCGCAAGCTAGAAAGTTTTTATTGTACGTGAACATAACGTTGGGTTTTTGCTCAATGTGTACAGTAATCGTACGAAAATAAAAGAATAGAAAAAATGTGCATAGAGTAAGCAAAGAACGACCTGCAAGAAGATGACAACGAGAATAGAAATTGTGCGCAAAAAAGTACATTTACCTATGTAGGCCGAGAATTGTCGTACCAGGTAATACCCTTGTCCAGGGGTGGACTGACCATTCAGAACTCGGGCACTGCCCGAGGGCCCAGAGTCAGTAGGGGGCCCCATGAAATGCCCCTGGTACCTTTTTATAGGCTTTTTTTGAATGTGGGCAAGGACACAGGGGTCCCATGATCCCCTATTGCCCGGGGGCCCTATGAGTTGTCAGTCCACCTCTTCCCTTGTCGTTACATCGTGGAAAATTGGATAATCATTTGCCTGATTTTCTCATAGTATGTATAAGGTTTAAGGCTCCGTTCACATCTACGCAGTTTGCTTTTAGTCTGTTTTGCAGTGTTTTCCGCAGTTCATTTTGCATTTTTATACACACGTTTTTCACATGTGGGCAGAATAAAAATGCAAATCACGGCAAAAACGCACTACCAGCAGATTCTCCATTGAACTCTATTGTAGAAATAGCGCTGCTTTTTGCTTTTATAAAAGTCCCTGACCCTTTTTCAAAAGTGCAGCAGCTCACAAAAGCATAGATGTGACCCTGTTCCATAGGAAACCATGTTAAATGGACTGTAGTGCGTTTCTGCAAAAAGCACTAAAAAAAAACGCCTTGGTGTGAGCAGAGCCTAAATGTCGGACATCAGTGTGCTAATTAATCAGCTTTCCTGTTCTTCTCTATGACAAATAGAAGCATCTGTGATAGAAGAGACAAAAAAAGCCTGCCCTTTAAAAAAAAGGCTTTACTTCCCCTTTACCACTTGCCTACCGGGCACTTCTACCCCCTTCCTGCCCAGGCCAATTTTCAGCTTTCAGCGCTGTTGCACTTTGAATGACAATTGCGTGGTCATGCAACACTGTACCCATATTACATTTTTATCGTTTTTTCTCACAAATAGAGCTTTATTTTGGTGGTATTTAATCGCCGCTGGGTGTTTTATTTTTTGTTCTATAAACAAGGAAAGAGCAAAGAATTAGAAAAAAAAGTCTTTGTTTCTATTAAAAGGTAAAAAGTAATTTTTCTCCTTCACTGATATACACTAATGAGGCTGCAGTGGTGGGCACTGATAGGCTGCACTGATGGACACTGATAGGTGGCACTGATGGGCACTGATGAGGAAGCACTGGTAGGTGGCACTGATAGGCAGCACTGATGGGCACTGATAGGCTGCACTGATAGGCGGCACTAATAGGTGGTACTGATGAGCTGGCACTGATGATGGGTACTGATAGTCGGCACTGATGATGGGTACTGATAGTTGGCACTGATGATGGGTACTAGTAGTCGGCACTGATGATAGGTACTGATAGTCGGCACTGATGATGGGTACTGATAGTCGGCACTGCTGGGAGGCACTTACTGGCAGCATGGCTGGGCTGCACTGATGGGCTCTGGTGGGTGACACTGGTGGGCACAGGTGGGTGGCACTGCTGGGCACTTGTGGGCGGAACTGATTGGTGGCACTGCTGGGCACTGATCATCAGGGCACTGATCCCTGCTCTGATAGCTCAAGGAAACTGCATCTGAGAACCGGCAATTGCATTCCCCGGTGATCAGTGTGTCATTGGACACGCTGATCACATGGTAAAATGCCGCTGTGATTGGTCTTTTACCACATCACGTGATCAGCTGTGTCCGTAGGACACAGCGATCATTGAGATTGCCGGGTGAGTGCCCCTGGGGGCGCACAGAAGAGCGCGCTCTGGGAGGACGTTATATGATGGCCTCCCAGAACTGGCTGGCCGTAGTGCAGCCGTCATTCGGCTACCTGCGGTCGGCAACTGGTTAAGGGCCTGTATAGACAGGTTTATGTTTACTTTGTACAGATTTTGCATTCCTATACAAATGTTCAAATCCTTCTTAAGCAGGTCACATGCAAGTCAGAAGGAGCTCAGCTGCAGGTCAATGGGTTGTGAGCGATCTCAGATGTCATCAACACAAACCCAAAGCCCATTGGCACAGATAGAATGTGGGCAGTAAAAGAGAGCGGGCACCATCAGAAGGGCCCCATTGGAACCTCTTTTTCTACATGACTGGCTCAGTGCCTACAGTTTCCTAATAGGAAGGCAGCCCTGGGTGTAACGTGAAGATATGATTGTATACATACTCCATGTGTTTTATCAGTGAAGAATGCACGGTGCAAGGGAAAAGTATGGAGGAGTCGCAGCCTGTGAAGGAATGTCGAGGGGGTAGTCTAAGTGTGGACTGAATGACGCAGAACTCTTGTAGATCTGTGAAATGAATTCTCACATATTTATATCGCAATTTCACAATTCAGCTTTGTTATCTCCTACTATCACACTTCCCATCCTTCTTTTTCCATGAATTTTTCAGTCTCGGGTTTTGATGATGTACCACCAAGAAGCTACAGTATATTGTGAATGCCGTCCCTTCCTAGACAACACACACAGCTTCATCTCACCTACTAAAGACTCCAGCTTTTAGGGCCGGTTCACACCACATGCAGTCCAGTGGGGGGTTTTTCTGCATCAAAAACGCATGGATAGTAGGTTAATACTAATTATCGGCTCGCTGCAGGCAGGATAATCAGGACTCCATAAAAGGTAACAGAGGCCACGAGGGTTCCATTCCCGCGCCCTGACGTTTATTTGGTTTATAATAGAAGAAATATGAAGTCATACGGCATAACTCTGCCAGGGAATGTACAGAGAGGAGGAGCAGCTTAATCTATCCGCCACATCCCGTAAACAATTCCATCTCTTCCATTTCTCGCCTGCTTGGCATCTTGCCCTCACAATGAACCTTTAAAATCTCACTCCACCTAAAATGAAATTTTGTTATGGATAAATCACCAGCGTGACATTATGGGGGTTATTTAGTAAAACTGGAACGGGCAAAATCTGGTGCAAATCTGCATAGAAACCAACCAGATTCCACGTTTTGTTGCCAAAAACTTAATCGAACAAGCTAAAGCTAGAAGCTGATTGGCTACCATGCAGAGCTGCACCAGATTCTGAGTGCTCCAGTTTTAGTAAATCTTCCCCATTGGGGTATTCATAAAACTGTTGTAAAACATTCTGGAACAATGTATAAATCACTTTTCCCTTTTACAAGTAAAGAACAAAGCAGGGATTTTAATCCAGGATCTGTTCTTTCAATATAAATAGTGGACTCTTGCCGATAGCGGCTGTCACGTACCTGGTCGAGGCCGAGCTGAGGGCAGGGTTGCCCTTACCCCTCTTGTCCTGTTTCCCCTGGGAATGATGACAGGGTTTACCAGGGCACAGAGAGTCACGGGTGCCTGTAGGGGATCTGGTTCTGAATATCTTGGAAGCAGATGCAGAGCTGCAGCAGGCCAACGGGTACTGGATCTAGGGTGTGTAGTTAGATGGGCAGAGGTCGGCAACAATCGGGCAACAGGAGTGCAAAGTCAGGAACCAGGAGCAGAGTCGGAGCCAGGCCAAGGTCAGCATCAAGTGGGTAGAAGATGTACTAGAATAGCACGCTGGAAGCAAGGTCAGGTCACAAGCCAGAGTCATCAACAGAGGTTCAGGAACAAATAGGATAGGTAAGCCGGGTCTGGGTACACATGAGCACAGGGTCAGGTCACAAGCCAGAGTCAGTAACAGAGGTTCAGGAACAAACAGGACAGGTAAGCCGGGTCTGGGTACACATGAGCACAGGGTCAGGTCACAAGCCAAAGTCAGTAACAGAGGTTCAGGAACAAACAGGACAGGTAAGCCGGGTCTGGGTACACATGAGCACAGGGTCAGGTCACAAGCCAGAGTCAGTAACAGAGGTTCAGGAACAAACAGGACAGGTAAGCCGGGTCTGGGTACACATGAGCACAGGGTCAGGTCACAAGCCAGAGTCATCAGCAGAGGTTCAGGAACAAACAGGACAGGTAAGCCGGGTCTGGGTACACATGAGCACAGGGTCAGGTCACAAGCCAGAGTCATCAGCAGAGGTTCAGGAACAAACAGGACAGGTAAGCCGGGTCTGGGTACACATGAGCACAGATTCAGGTCTCAAGCCAGAGTCATCAGCAGAGGTTCAGGAACAAACAGGACAGGTAAGCCGGGTCTGGGTACACATGAGCACAGGGTCAGGTCTCAAGCCAGAGTCAGTAACAGAGGTTCAGGAACAAACAGGACAGGTAAGCCGAGTCTGGGTACACATGAGCACAGGGTCAGGTCTCAAGCCAGAGTCAGTAACAGAGGTTCAGGAACAAACAGGACAGGTAAGCCGGGTCTGGGTACACATGAGCACAGGGTCAGGTCTCAAGCCAGAGTCAGTAACAGAGGTTCAGGAACAAACAGGACAGGTAAGCCGGGTCTGGGTACACATGAGCACAGGGTCAGGTCTCAAGCCAGAGTCAGTAACAGAGGTTCAGGAACAAACAGGACAGGTAAGCCGGGTCTGGATACACATGAGCACAGGGTCAGGTCACAAGCAGAAAGAATTGATGACCACTCAGCAATGAACCTGAGCCCTGTAAGGCTTTCACCACTTCAGGTCCGGACACTTTCATCCCCTTCCTGTCCAGGCCAATTTTCAGCTCTCAGCGCGATCACACTTTGAATGACCATAGCGCGGTCATGCAACTCTGTGCCCATATGAATTTTTTAGCATGTTTTTGAGACAGATAAAACTTTATTTTGATGGTATTTATTCACCACGGGGATTTTTATTTTTGTTGCTATATAAATTAAAATGTCCAAACATTTTGAAAAAAAGTGTTTTTCGGGATATCTCCAGCAGTAGGTGCTCTGTTCAAACCAGATAGTGAGGTGACCGGTATATATGATAAGGCTGTGCACTCACCAGATGCACAGTTATTCTGCGCATGTAGAGACAATGCTCATGTAGGGCACGCTCCAGGCTCCCGTTATAAATCTGGTCTGGTCAGGTATTCCCCTCACTGCTCTCCTCAGCTGGCAATGTGATATCTCTTGAAATCCTGCAGAGAGCTGCAGAACATCAGCTGGAGGCCGTTCACCTGAGCTATCTGGTTTGAACAGAGCACCTATTGCTGGAGATATCCCGATCTCTTATATTCACATTTGGACTATCTATTCCATCATTATTGTCCACCGCGAGTCACTTCTACAGTGATGGAATACATGATATCACTGAAGTCACTTTATATGTTGGCACCTTGTCACAAGTCACTTTATGTATTTTATATAATTCTCATCTATACCTTTGATGCATTGATTATTGCTTAAAATGTACAAACTGTACAAACTATACAAACAAACAAACTGTACAAACAAACAAACTATACAAACTGTACAAAGTGTACAAACAAACTGTACAAACAAAAACAAAACTGTACAAACAAACTGTACAAAGTGTACAAACAAACTGTACAAACTGTACAAACAAACTGTACAAACAAACAAACTGTACAAACAAACTGTACAAACAAACTGTACAAAGTGTACAAACAAACAAACTGTACAAACAAACTGAACAAACAAACTGTACAAACTGTACAAACAAACTGTAATAACTGTACAAACAAAGTGTTCAAACAAACAAAGTGTACAAACAAACAAGCTGTACAAACAAATTGTGCAGCTCTGACCAAAGTTGAATGATACCTCTGCTATAGGTGTAGGCCATTTACATACTTCATAACGCCTGCCTTAAAAACTCCCAGAGATTGCGCTCCCCTGTCCTGCCTTGTTGCTAGGAAGTTGCTAAGAGACTCCCAGCTGTTACTGTTCACTTTAACTATCACAAGCTCTTTCCCTGATTCAGACCGCTCACATGTGCTTTCTTTCCCCTGACGTAGTAACAGATGTTCCAGAAATATAGTGAGCTTCTACTTCCCTCTGACACAATTAGTATCAGCCCTGCCTACTTCATTTCTAATGGATTACATAGAACACGGACCCCTCTTCATCTCCAGAACCCCTCCTTTTTGCACAGGAAATAATCAGCTCTCAGGATTTCTGGCACATTCACCTGGTGTTTTTTGGCAGTTATCAAACAGTGGTATCTCATAGGGGAGCACATAAGAGAGGTTCATAGTTAGGATGTACATACACATTAAAGAGACTTTGGCAATGAGCTGTCCCAGTATCTACATATTGAAAACAGGTGCGGACCTGCAATACATTTTGATAGAACACTTGCAATGTATATAGGCCACCTAACGAGCATTGTTCTTTCTTCTTCAACAAATAATGTGCATTTTAGGACATATAAACTGATTTGTCTGATGGGATTCTTACCTTTGTTTTCCTTCAGAAGGGCAGATGCCATCATGAAGGCCACACAGCCAGAAAGAACAACACTATTCAAGAAGGAGGCCAATGGCGCTGTCTTTCGGACTCCATCTCTCATCTACATCAAAGAAGAGAACACATTTTTGGCCTTTGCTGAGAAACGCAAGGGTGAGGACGAAGCCATGGCCGATTTCCTGGTGATGAGAAGAGGAATCTACAAAACGGGATATGTGACGGTAGGTCCAACAAGAGGGGATATGTGACGGTAGGTCCAACAAGACGGGATATGTGACTGTAGGTCCAACAAGACAGGATTTGTGACGGTAGGTCCAACAAGACGGGATATGTGACGGTAGGTCCAACAAGACGGGATATGTGACGGTAGGTCCAACAAGACGGGATTTGTGAAGGTAGGTCCAACAAGACGGGATATGTGACGGTAGGTCCAAAGACGGGATATGTGACGAAAGGTCCAACAAGATGGGATATGTGACGGTATGTGACGGTCCAACAAGACGGGATATGTGACGGTAGGTCCAACAAGATGGGTTAGATGGTTTACGGGATATGTGACGGTAGGTCCAAGACGGGATATGTGATGGTAGGTCCAAGACGGGGTATGTGATGGTAGGTCCAACAAGACGGGATATGTGACGGTAGGTCCAACAAGATGGGATATGTGATGGTAGGTCCAACAAGACGGGATATGTGACGGTAGGCCCAACAAGATGGGTTATGTGACGGTAGGTCCAAGACGGCAATGTGACGGTAGGTCCAACAAGACGGGATATGTGATGGTATGGACGGTCCAAGACGGGATATGTGATGATAGGTCCAACAAGACGGGATATATGACGGTAGGTCCAACAAGATGGGTTATGACGGTAGGTCCAAGACGGGATATGTGATGGTAGGTCCAAGACGGGAAGACGGGATATGTGACGGTAGGTCCAACAAGATGGGATATGTGATGGTAGGTCCAAAGACGGGATATGTGATGGTAGGTCCAACTAGACGGGATATGTGACAGTAGGTCCAACAAGATGGGATATGTGATGGTAGGTCCAACAAGACGGGATATGTGACGGTAGGTCCAACAAGATGGGTTATGTGACGGTAGGTCCAAGACGGGATATGTGATGGTAGGTCCAAGACGGGATATGTGACGGTAGGTCCAACAAGACGGGATATGTGAAGGTAGGTCCAACAAGATGGGATATGTGACGGTAGGTCCAACAAGACTGGATATGTGACGGTAGGTTTAACAAGATGGGTCATGTGACGGTAGGTCCAAGACGGGATATGTGATGGTAAGTCCAAGACGGGATATGTGACGGTAGGTCCAACAAGATAGGCTATGTGATGGTAGGTCCACAGAAATTGGGTTTTAGAGAGAGTATGCAGACATCACTTTCCAAAGGTTTTGGCAACAGCTTTTGACGGTAAACTAGCCATTATATACAATGTAGCTCCATGCAGCAGCCTCTCCACTTATGTACACAGCCTGTTCAGTCAGGTGACCACAACTGCCAACTTTCTGAAAGTGGGACTCCTTTTAGCACAATCTGTGTAGGTAAAGGACACACTTCTTCAGCACCACCAGTTACCCAAACCATGAAAAATTAATACACAAAAATAACGTGAAACCCACAAATGCTTTTTTCACCTCTCATGGGTTTTATACAGACTTTGTAACTTATCAAATGTAATCTTTTTTAGAAAGTTTAGTGTAGTACATTGGTCTCCAAACTGTGGCCCTTTGCTTGCCTTTATCCAGCCCCTGGGGCACTGTCCCTCTCACTGATACGAGACACTATTCCTCCCACTGACACCAACGATGGGGCACTATTCCTCCCTCTGACACCAACGATGGGGCAAAACTCCTCCCACTGATACCAACGATGGGGCACTATTCCTCCCACTGACACCAACGATGGGGCACTATTCCTCCCACTGACACCAACGATGGGGCAATACTCCTCCTACTGATACCAACGATGGGGCACTATTCCTCCCACTGATACCAATGATGGGGCACTATTCCTCCCACTGATACCAATGATGGGGCACTATTCCTCCCACTGATACCAATGATAGGGCACTATTCCTCCCACTGACTCCAACGATTGAACACTATTTCTCCCACTGACACCAACAATGGGGCATTATTTCTCTCACTGACACAAACGATGGGGAACTATTTCTCTCACTTACACCAACGATGGGGCACTATACGTTCTACTGACAACAACAATCAGGCATTATTCCTGCCACTGACACCGATGATTGGGCATTATTCCTCCTACTGATACCAACGATGAGGTACAATTTCTCCCACTACCAATGATGGTACCAATGGCCAACATCCATCCCCCCTAAAGTCTGAAGGATAGTAAACTGGCACTTTGTTTAGAAAGTTTGGAGACTCCTTGTGTAGTATAACACTTTTGTTAATTATACAGACCAAAAGAAGTACAATTTGAGGAGTAGCAGGGACAGGAGTGATTTTGTCTCAAAAGATGAACTGTTGGGAACTGCAATATGAATAACCCTTTGGTATGGGTCTGAAATTTTATATATATACACAGATACACAAGGTGGTATGGAAAAGTTTCAAGGCTACTTTTGTAATACGCCAAGAAATGGTAGCACAAGGCTGCATGCACAGTCACAGGGAGCACCGACCTTCACAAGTCAGTGTGCCAAAAGACATAGTCCTGTGTACATCGGAAGCTGTGCAACTGGTGCTATTCTGACCAAGTGTGTTACTGCGTCTGCTATTTCATCATGGACAGCAAGTAAGAACAAAGAAAATGTGAAATTCTGCGTGAAACTGGGCAAGTCGCTGGATCTCCACAATGTTGTCAAAACAGTCACCTGTGAGCTGGATCTTCATCTTTGGGAAGAGGGCATTTTCAGGGGTTGTGCTCATTGAAGGTCTTCCTGATCTCTCATCGTCTTCCAGTGATGTTCTTTCACTCTTGATATGTGCGTGCCACTCAAAACACCTTGAACGACTCATTGCAGCATCGCTGTAAACCTGCCGAAACATGTTAAATGTCTGTGGCAGATTTGCCCAGTTTCACATTTGCTCTTTGTTCCATGATAAAATAGCAGACGTGGTAATGCACGTGGTCAGAATAGCGTCAGTTGCACAGCTCCCGATTTACACAGGACGATGTCTTCTGGCACAGTGACTTGTGAAGGTCGGTAGTCCCTGTGACTGCGCGTTCAGCCTTGTGCTGCCATCTATTGGCGTGTTACAAAACTAGTCTTGAAACTTTTTCATACCACCTCGTGTATATATATATATACTTCTATATATTCCAGCTTCTATAACCGATGCTGAGTCACTGGGAGGGTTCAGTTTAAACACAAGTGAGTAAAAAATTCTAAACACGTCTCCATTTACAATTACACATCAGATCATGCTAGCTGATATATATATATATATATATATATCAGGTAGCATGATCTGATTTCCCTCACTTGTGATTAAACTGAACCCTCCCAGTTACTCAGTATTAGTTATAGAAGCTGGAGGTGGTGTCACTTGATCATCTTTTTATAAAGTGGATTTATGGATATCCACGTGTGGTGGCATTGAGCATGAGTTGCATTATCGAGGAGCAGAGATAGGGTTCAACACCTTTGAATGTAACTCAATGAGGGCTTGGAGCAGTGTTGATGAAGTCTTGTATACACAGAAAGTACTGATTGAAGCTACTGCCGCAATCACTATGGGGCTTCTTTGAAAAGTATAATTACATTGTCTTATATTTCTTCTTTCTAGTGGGAAGGTACCCAAACTCTGCATGATCTCTGCCCAAAGAATCACCGCATGATGAACCCTTGTCCTGTCTATAATGAGAGACAAACCAAGTTCTGTTCTTATTCTTTAACTCCATACCCAGTGGGGTAACCGAGAAACGCATGAAGAAGTGGGGAAACTCCAGCAAACTCTGCTACGCCACCAGTAAGGACTGCGGGAAGACATGGAGCTTAGTGACCAATATAACAGAGGTGTTGAATGGCATTGACAACATGGCCACCTTCTTCTTGTCTCCTGGCCACGGTATCCAGACAGATTCTGGAATAATGGTAGTCCCTGCTTACGTCTACGTCGCAAAATGCTGGTGTATTCAGTACTGTTGCACAAAATCCCACTCGTTTTACCTCTACAGTAAGGATGGGGGCAGCAGGTGGAATGTATCAGAAAGAATCAGCAGGTTTGAGTGTGCCGAATGTCAGATTGCAGAAATAGTCTGCGAAGGTAAACAGAAGATGCTCTACTGCAATGCTAAAACCCCATCCAAGTACAGGGTGGAGGCACTGACACTGAACGCTGGTGGTGAATTCAAAATGACTGACAAAAGTCGAAAGCTGAAAGACACCGGGGATGGAGGATGCTCCGGGAGCATTGTAAGCTTCCCAGGGATTGACCAACCAGATGAGGAAGGCAGTTACTGGCTTCTATATTCTCACCCTGCTAAGAAAGACCGCAGAGAGCTTGGCATCTTCTTAAATAAATCTCCTCTGACATCAGAAGCTTGGTCCAAGCCATGGGTGATTCACGATGGCCCAGCAGCTTATTCTGATCTTGCCAGGTGCCATGAGGCCAATACCTTTGCCATCTTATTTGAGAGTGGGACCGAGAATGCTTATGAGGAGATCAATTTTTGTCTTTTCACTGTGGAGGATGTTTTGGAGAACATCAATAAGAAGAAAAGCTTCTTCTCCAGATTTAAGAAATAACTGGAATGACATAAAACCATCTTTTTAACCCACACTGGTCTTGTAAAATTTTGGAAACAATATATTTTGGACTGATGTCTTACCAAAAGATTCCTCAAGTGTTCCTCTTCATCTGCCTTTATGTACTATATTGGTGGTCAACCTTTCTTAAGACATGATGCCAAGTATCCACTTGAGGAAAAGTCCAAGATTTCCTACTGAATCTGCCATATTTGATGAATAAACTGAATGATGCTGGACAAAATGTAATTTTGTGTTCTCAACTCATATACTGATTGAAAGCAGAGTAGATGTTTAATATTATCCATGAGGACTGCTGGATGACTACATAAACCCAACACTTAGTGCAAGTTGCGATTTTTCTTTTTGGCATGTTTCACTTAGATGAACACTACTGCTGTCATACAGCTTTTGTCCGATGTGCCTTCAAAGCTCCACTTTCAGCTCCTGGTCAACAGCAGTTGCAAAATGCACACATACTGTAGAAGTAATGGCGGGTAGCATGAAATATCCCCTTATAATTCACTTGTAATGTGCTGTGATCTCCCATCAACTTATGTTTTAGTTGGGATTTTCATTCTAAGCAAAAGTGGGCTGGCAATACTATCAAAGGTCAAACAGATGTGAGAGGAACGTAAATGGAAACCTAAAAATGTGATACACAATTGTTCATATCACCTTGAAAAAAAAAATGAAGCTAATATATCCAACTTGCTAGTGTTCAGTTCAGTAGGTGTCTACATGCAATCACAGGAGTGAGGGCCTTCCATACTGATCGTTCAAGGTTCATGTATATGAAACCACTCTGCCTTGTGGTCAGATTGAAGGCTATACCTATGCCTTCAGTTGGCTGTACAGGTGGACTCACAAAGGCACTAAAATGAAATGATCTGAACTTTTTGCAAGCACCACGTGTAATTGTGTCGGTGTAATCAAATTCACCTATTCAATAGATTAGGACCGAGTATTTGTGAAGCAGAGCACTGGGCTATAAGTAAAAGCTTGGCTGTTAAAACACAGTATAGTAGACCATAGTCAACACAATAAGAGTCAACAGAGCCAACTGCCCCAAACTAGTCGCATTTATCTAACGACTGAAGGACGTTTAGTAAAGTGGCTCTTCTTACCAGAAAGAATCATCAGGATGCATCAAAATGCCAATGGACTCGTATTTCATATCTGAAGACATGAGAAATGGCACAGCCTACTCTATGTACTAAACATCCCTATATATATTGTTTGGTGGTGACTGTTTCATTGTGACAGGTCTTCTAGCTGTGGCGTGATGAGACTGCCACCAACTTCTTCTTTATGTATGGTGCTGTTCAAGATCATGAAGATTTGATTGTTTTAACCACTGGTGGATGGAGCCATGATGGAGCAATACCTCAATGGTGCCGGAGGTGATCCAAGTCTTAGAGATTTGTCACTGGCAACTGAATCGCTAGTGTGACATAGCCCTTAGTGAACGCTTGCCAACTACCAGCCAGCCACTATACTAAACACCCATTGAATGTGCATTAATTAAGCATTTTAGGCTCCATGTACACTGCAGCTGATAAACACACGTTTAGGAGCTTTTCTGCGCTTTTTTCAGCAGCCCCTGAACTCACCCTAATGTTTTCCTATGTGTCCAAGTACACAGAGTCGTTTACAGGCAGTTGAGTTTACAGTTGTTTTTTTTTTTAACGCACCAAACTTGCGTTCAGGAGTAGATTTTATCAGTGTTTCAAATGCCAAACGCTTGTAAATGCGGCTAACCACGTTTATAAACGTTTGCATTTGGAAATGTTTTTTAACTCTTCCATTTCCAGATGCTGTCCAGAGCCTTTTTTCATCATGAAAAATGCATGCAAAGCGTTTTCCCGGCTCAAATGGACCCGGCACACCATACTTTGAGGTTTCGCATGAAACAAAATATGTTAGACACTGCTGTAATAATTTCTGCACAGAAATGAGCTGGAACACATCCAAACACCACGAAAGACAAAAAAGAAAAAGACAGCTAATCTCAACACATACTGCTCTCTCTGCTTCTGCTCTCTCTATTTCTCTCAAAATGTCTGAAATAGTTAATTTTTTACTGTTTTTCAGTGCATTCTGGGCATTTTGGAAGGTCTCCTGAGGTTATCTTTAACCCCTTTATGCCGGCCGCACACAAATGTGTGGCCTCCCGGCATCTGGGCCTAGACGCTGAGTGGCCGCACATTTGCGTTCAGGTAAGAAAAAACATATGTGCTGAGAGCGCACGCCTTGCGCGCTCCCAGCACACATGTCTGGTACTCACGGAAAGGTCCTGGTCTGCTCTTTCGATCGGGACCTTTGCTGATCATGTGATCGCTGTGACGACGCATCACGGCGGTCACATGATTTCCTAAACCACGCCCCGCCTCCCAGCGTCTGAAACTCTTAAAGGGCCGGGAGGCGCCAGTGGGAAGGGGTTAAAAACGCTTCTAAACGCCCATAAACGTGGTATGCAAACGTGGCTAAACAGACATTTTTTAACCTACGTTTTCCAGCAGTCAGTTTCCATCGTTCAGAAGTGTTCTGTGTACATGGAGCCTAAGAGTTTGACACTCAATCAGACATCTGGGTATCTCTATGGTGGACGCTCCATTGTTTCCCTCAGCAATAAATGAGAGCTGTTCAAATCATGAACTGGACAATATTTTTATATAATGTGATTTATATTACAGTATTTTCTGACTTGTAAATTGATTTTTTTATGACTACATACTAATGATTTCCAGAGCAGTGCTAGCGGTATAATCCTGGAGAAGGATCTGATACTAATAAAAAGCATCTTCTTGTTTTTAAAAGATCAATTCTTGGAATAATTAAATTCAACCTATTAACACTATGTTCTTGTTCCCTTACATTACGGTGGATGTAAAGTCAATGAATAAAATCTTCTATAAGCTTTATCATGGTAATATCATTTCAAAAGTCATTTTAAATATGCAGCTTGCATTTAAATAATACCTGGTGATCCTGCCATGAGAGTCCTCGTTCAGGTACTTCCGATGACAACACTCCCAGTTCTTTCTGTCCCTGACTACTAGTTCACCTGCGTAGTCATTCTTTCACACACGCTTATGATGGAGACAACGGGTAGCAGCTTCAGCACACACTACATAGTTAGGGCTCATGTACACTGCAGCTGATAAACTCACATTTAGGACCTGTTCAGTGTTTTTTTTCAGCAGCCCCTGAACTCACCCTAATGTTTTCCTATGTGTCCATGTACACATCGTCGTTTACAAGCATTTGAGTTTACAGTCGTTTTTTTTAATGCAAAAAACTTGCATTCAGCAGTCGATTTTATCAGCTTTTCAAACGCAAAGTGCTTGTAAACGTGGCTAAACGAGGCAAATCGAGTTTATAAGCGTTTGCGTTTGAAAATTTTTTGTAACTCTTCAAGTTCCTGATGCTGTCCAGAGCCTTTTTTCATAATGAAAAATGCATGCAAAGAGTTTTCAAGGTACTCAAATGGACAAAACACTGAACACAGGATGTTCCTACCAAGCTTGTCACACATTGTAATGACCAACTCACACCTCAGACCTTTCCCACCCTTGGAAACAAAAGATATGTTATTGACCATTCACACCTCAAATTCCTCATGAAGACCCCATGCCCGGTGGCCTTAATGACTCCCTCCACCAGACTCCTTTCCCACCCTTGGAAACAAAAGATATGTTAATGACCATTCACACATCAAATTCCTCATGAAGACCCCCTGCCAGGTGACCTTAATGACTCCCTCCACCAGACACTTTTCCCACCCTTGGAAACAAAAGAAATGTTAATGAGCAACTCCCACCTAAGCTAATCTCAACACATACTGCTGTGTCTGCTTCTACTCTCTGTATTTCAATGAAACAGTCTGAAATAGTTAATAATTTCCCACTTTTGAGTGCATTTGGGAGGTTCTTTTGTGCTTATCTTTAAAAAACGCTTCTAAACGCAAATGCACATAAACGCATTATGCAAACGCGGCTAAACGTTTTTTAACCTACGTTTTCCAGCAGTCAGTTTCCATTGTTCAGAAGTGTCCCCTGTACATGGGGCTTTATGGTCCACTGTTGTCACCATCAGAAAACCTACCTGAGAAATGCCATGTAGCCATCACTGAAGTGCATGTAAGTGCACAGTAAGAGATCAGCACTGAGATGCAACAAAGGATGAGAAAAGATGAAAACAATATTTCATTACAATAAAAAATCATGATAATTGAAAAGAAGTGTTTGCTGAATCTCTGGTATGGATTCCAGTAGAAAGTATGTAAAACGTACCAAAATGCATTGTATGTTAGTTTCAAAAGCATGTGGCTTAAGACCCCATTTGCAAGTGTGATTACATGTGAAATCCAATGGAATCTGCGTCCAGGGCCAATCATTTGCATGCAATTGCTCCATGAGCCAATATATGCGATTAGCTGCAAGAGCTGTCAGCCTCCCATTGCCTTTAATGAAACTACCGCCTGGCAGCTAATCAACAGGACCCACCCAGTGGGTCTACCCCATGTAATCACTAATGGCCCTATGTGTAAGTGTGGATGGGACCTTAGAGACACGGAAATCGCATTAACTTTTATTTTGGTTGTCAGAGGAGTGCGCAAGCCTCTGTGGGGGTGAATGACAAAGGGACCATACCCAAATGTCAGGAATATGTAAGATTTGTGATGTAGACAGGAGTGTGAAAGTATAAAGAACACAGAACAGAGGACCAGACACACCAAAAGATCAGGTATAGCTACAGATCTCTGATACCTGACCTGCAGCACTTTGGCACTCATTGTGTGGCCCTCGGGCCCTAGCCTGGCATCTGCTACTTAAAAGGTTTGGTTTATTTTTCCCACACTTTCTATCTGCTTTCCTTCATTCCCTTTTTTCCTCTTTATGTATATCTATCATCTGACCTGACAGCTGAGAGGAATATCAAATATGGCCAAGGTCATTTTAAGGCGACTGTAGGGAGCACAGGAATTGGAACACAGC